AGCGGAGCGGATCTCGGGCGCTACGCAGAAGAGCGCGGGGAGTGCTTGGCCGAGTCGAGGTGGGTAAGCGCGCGACCGCCCGGACTTTCCAGCGTCCAGCCTCAGCGGTTCGGCTGAGTCCTCTCCGCCCGAGGCTTCTTGGCCAACCCCTACACCGGCGCCAGCCACCTACCCTCCAAGCAGAGTGCTTCCGGCTCGCTCCAGATTCCGCTCTCAGCTGGTGAGCTGCGCGGAGACCCCCGCCCTCCCTATCCCTGCCCGCCCGTTGCCTGCCTCGGGGACGCACAGAGGCGGAAGCGCTCGCTGAAGTGGGGCGAGGGCGATTGCGCTTCCAGGCTACAAGCTCTGTTCTTTCCAAAGGGCGCCTGGATAGCAGCAGCCGAAGGCGCGACTAGGAGCGGTAACCTGTTACTTCCCCGGCAGCTGCGGTCTACCTGCCGCCCGCGTAGCTGCACGAGTGCGCGCGCGGGGCTAGGTGTGGGGCCGGGGGTGGGGGAGGATGTGGAAGCCCTGTCCGTGGGAGCTTTTCTAAGGGGTCTTAGGTCCACCCGGATTCGCTACACTCTCTCTGCCCTGGGGCCTTTGGACGCCATCGCTCCAGCGCCAGGTGCGGAGCAGGGGCGCCGTGCACTGATCTTTGTCCGCCGCTTCCTGCGCGCGGGGCGCAAGTTCGTTTCCCGGGTGACGTTCCCTTTTCTTACCTCCCCACCCTCTCCGGATCTGTACGGCGACATCTAGGATCCTCAGCTGACCGGGTAGAGAAGAAACACTGAAACCAGGACGCGGCTTTGCCCTAGGCTTCGAGATGGCACAAAACAGGGTGGGACAAGAGAGAGATGAGCGAGGTTCCGACCCGCTGCTTTCTGGCTTGTCTGGAGTGCAAGGTGACAGGGGCTAGTTCCCGGCCAAGTCGGAGGGAGAACGTAAAGATGCAGACCTCTTTTCCTTCTCACCTTGTCTCTCCAAAGTCCCCGGTCCCCGGAGCAGTTAGCCTCTTTCTTTCCAGGGAATTAGCCAGACACAACAACGGGAACCAGACACCGAACCAGACGTGCCCGCCCCGTGCGCCCTCCCCCCTCCCCTGCCCGCACGCTGGCTGCTGAGAGCCCAATGGGGCTTGTCGCGGCTCGGCTGGAAAATCGCGCCTTGAGCACTCCCTTATGCTCCTAGCCCAGTCTCCCACACTCCCGAGTCCTGCTCTGGCCTTGGGCTCCCCTCTACTCAGCGCTGCCCTCCAGGTCGCCCGGCTGCGCCGCTAGACTGGAGAGCCGCCCAGGGCTACGTTGCCTCCGCCCGAGTCCCGGAGCTAGCTCGCGCCTCTGCTCCGCACCCCTCCTCCGCGCGCCCGGACCCGGCCGGCTAGCAGCCCTTTCTCTCCTCTCCCTCTCCGGCTCAGACTTCACGGAGAGCGTCCGATCCGCGGCGGCTCCGTCGCCTCCAGCGTGCAGGACCCCGGAAACCATTTCCGCACCGCTCTCGCTTCTTGTTGCAGCCCGTTGCTGCGCCCGACACACCGTGGACCCCGGACAGCAGAGGCCCCGGGACCACCAAGCTGATGGCGTCTTCGACCCCTTCTTCGTCCGCAGCCTCCTCGAACGCTGGAGCGGACCCCAATACCACCAACCTGCGCCCCACAAGTAGGTCCCGCCCCAGTTTCCTGTCAAATGGATTGCGGGGAAGATGAGGGCGCGGGGACGTCGGGAGGCTGCGCTGGCGGAAAGGGAAAGGGGAGCGCACGGATGATGGAGGCTGGGAAATAAATGGGCCCTGACCCAGGTGCCTGCCAGAGGTCATTCGACTGTCAGGGACACTAGGTGACTCACGGGGCACCTGAGAGCGAATGCCGCGCTGGATCTGAGCGGCACGTTGGTTGGCGATTCGGGGAGGGGGAGGGGCACGCGGCGAGTGTTGTTTTCGTTGTTGTGTGTGCGTCTTTGCTGGGTGGGAGCGCTAGGATCAGGGCAGGGGCTGGTGTGAGAGAAGCCAGGAGTCCCAGCGGGAAGGGAGAGTTTTCTGTCTCCGGCTTTCGTTGAGGCAAGATCTGACCTCCTCCTCCTTTTCCCCTGCGCTGTGCTCCAAGTCTATAATCAGCGGAAATTTCGACGTTAATTGCAGCTTTTAGAAAACTCAGGGCCCCTAATTGCTCCAAATTTGCGACGAGCTATTGACGATCGAGGGAGAAGCCAGGGGCGGGAAAGGTGTATGAAACTGAGACTGAGCCTCGACATTTCATGCAATTAATTACATCTCAGAGGGGGAAAATAATACTACAAGAGCGGGCAGCATCTGAGCGGTGAGGGGAGGGAACTGGGAGGGGGCAAGAAGGTTTGCCAGGGCGGGAGGGGCGAGCACCTCTCCTTTCTGCTAGTGACAGACCTGTCAGCAGGTGAGGAGTCTGGAAGAGGGATGGACTCGGTAAAGGGAGGTCGCTTTCCCAGCCTTGGCGTGGGGAGCTCCTCACCCATTAGCTGCACGTCTTTAATTTGGATTGATTTCCTCTCTCTGGAGGTGTGGGGATTGAGACTATTGTTTTTGTTTTTCCATGTTGATGTGAAGTGTCCCCCACACCCCCAAATCTATCAGGTCCAGATAGTAACAGCTTCAGAATTTTTATTCAGGAGGGGCTTGGGGAGGGGGATAGATTGTGGTTGGGAAGGCTTATTGCTGAGCTTGTATGACACTTTCTACAAGCTTAAGATAATAATTGTCCTCATCAACAAAGGTGGGGGGTATTCTTGGGAGAAGATCCTTCTCCAACCCTTTGGCTCTGGCACTGTCTCCCAGGCGAGATGCCTTGTCTTAAGTCCTCAGGCCATGTTCTGGTTCCCTTAGCAGCCCCCTCTTCCCTCCAGCGGGCTACAATTAACCCACACAACAAAGAGGCATTCGGGAGAGTCGCCAGCCTGGTGGCACGTGAACCAGGCACGGGCTGCGGAGCTGGCTGGAACAGGCCGGGAGGAACTCGAGGCCTGCATGCCTTTGTCTGTTGCTCTGGCCTTGATGGTGCTCTTTTCCATCCTCCTCACATTTCTCACCCCTTTTTGCAGCCCGGTGGGGTTGGGCTGCAGTTGGGTTCACCCACCCCCTTTGTAGGGTGCACCTACTTCCCCAGGCTGCAGGGTGCAAATGCGTAGGCCTGGGTGGGAGACCAGTAGAGGCAATGACCCTAGCCCACATGTGGTCTCCCTTGCCTGAAAGCCACTGAGGCACCCTTGAAAGAGCACTGCTTGTCCCAGGAACACAGCTGCTCTCCCTCAGCCCAGCCTTGGCATCCACACCCCAGTCTGCAGGAACCTGCTGCTCTATCTGCTCCCACCCTCCTTACAGACACACCTTGGCTGTCCCAGCTCCCCAGGTCCTTCCCCTTCAAGGTCTCCTGGAAGGTGTCCTTGCATAACTCACACAACCTCCCTCTTTCTCCAGCAACCTCTGAGCTGGTCATGGATCTCCTTAGCTCTGGACCACTAGGTCTTGCAATATCAAGGGGTCTCTCTCAGTCCCTCTCCACATCTCCCTTTTGCCTTGTTTTGCTGTAAGGTAGTGCAATGTGTCTGAACTCAAACCTCCCTGCTGAGCGACCTTGGAAAACTCCCTTAGCCTCTCTGAGCCACAGCGTTTCTTTGTTAAGTGAATCTTAAATTAACACCTCTCCAGCCTTTGCATAGGGTCGTTTGAGGATTAGACCAGATGAAGTGTAAAGTGAAGGCACTTTATCGGGTGGAAATAGCTTTTTTCCCCCAGCAGGTATTATTATTTTGCTTTTGCACCGATTTTCTTTCTGTCACTGGACTCCATTTGTGACGTGCTGTCTCATCGACGTCGGACTGTTTCTTCTTCCTGCTGGGGCTCTGTTGTGCCTCGGGTTTAATGGATGTCACTCTCCTTATCGCAGCCAACACTGGCGGGGCAGGAGGCACGGGCAGGGGTGGGGTGGGGGATGGAAGTGATTGGAGCCACCTGGCTTTGAGGCTTTGAGGGAAGGAGATTTCACGCTGGGCCCACCCCGCACGTAGGCTTAGCAAGCACGGGGCTGCTGTCCGCGATCCTTGCTGGAAATTGAACTCTGAAGGCAGGTAGACCCCGAGGGATTTGAGAACTGTCTGGTAAGAGGAGAAAATCTGCAGTCCCTGGAGAGGGGGGCAGGGAAGGGTTTGGACTCTCAGGAGAGGTACCCGAGTCCACTCACTATCATCCACTCCAGACCAGAGCTGTCCGAGGGCAGGAAGGGTTAATGGGGGACAGGTTGGGGAGGGGGTCCAGGAACCAGGGCCGAAGGCTCGCTATTGTCTGCCGGACTCCCCAGTCTGGCTGAAGAGCAACCATGCGAGCCCGATCATCTAGTCAAATACTATTTTTCACCCAATTAATTCCTGAACTCTTCCGCGACCCCATTTCATGCCAGTTTATTTTAAGCTGCCATTCGGCTGGAGACCCGCCAAGAAATTATGAGACGTTTCGGTCCCAGATGCCTCTGTGCTCCCTTTCTGGGCTGCTGTGGTCGCCCCTCGAGTCTGCGGGGCCTGGCGGCTGGGTGCTGGGCAGCTCGAGCGTTGAGCCGGGTCTTTTGCGCTTGGGGTCAGCCTGAGCCGAACCCCAGCGCTGCCTCGGAGGCTGCCCAGCTGGGATCGCTGGGGGACCTGTCAGGGCGCCGGGTGCCCCGCCTCTCAGACACGGTTCTAGAGCCGTGAGTTGGAAGTGTTATGGGGCTTCTGAGGGCGCGAGTCTGCCTGTTGGCCCACGGATTTAGCTCCATGCTCCTTTCCGGAAAGAGCTTTTAACGAAGGGCACTGGCACTCCTCGTCCTCCAAAAAAATCCTTGCCCTTCACCAGCCCCCCACAGTCCGAGCCTCTCTGATCGCTCCTCTCTCGCTCTCGTCCTAGCATATGACACTTGGTGCGGCGTGGCCCATGGATGCACCAGAAAACTGGGGCTCAAGATCTGCGGTAAGTGAACCCGCGGTTTGGGGCCCAACGGGGCAGCCCGGCGCGCGGGCTTTGTGGGTTTGGGATAATGGGATGCGCTCGAAGAGAGTCCTCTCTCAGGTCCGTTTTCTAAGGTGATTAGGGCTTCGACGCCCGGCGGAGACGCTCCACCTCCGGGCGCAGGCTGGAGGGGCTTTCTCCTCCGGAGTCCCAGACCGAGATCGCGGAGAGGGCACGCGGGGTGTCCAGCCAGGGCGCGAGAGCACAGCGCCGCCGCGCGGCAACCTGCTCTCCTCGCCCGGTGCCCCGGACCTTGTGTCCGAGGAGCTCTGCTCCAGCCTCTGGAAGGACGCAGAGTAAAGGGAACTGGTCGGCTTCACCTGAGATCAAAGCACAGGCTTGGTGTCTGCCTAAGGCGGTGGCTAACCCGTCTCCCTCCACTTCATCGTCACCGTCCCATTTCCAGTCCCATCCCTAGACTGGGCGCTTTGGAAGTGGCTTTCCCGGCTCGAGGTTTTAGATTTTTGCCTCGAGAGAACAAACGCATTCAGTTTGTTCTTTGGGGACTCGGGGGCTTAGGAAGGACCGCCTGGAGCCCTTGGTGGCCTGAGAGAGGTGCCAGGAGGTCAGGCCCGCGGGTTTGCGGCCATACCCTTTAAGGCGAGGGGAGAAGGAAGAGGGGACGGGCAGGGGCAGGGAGCTGCGGGAGTTGGGAGGATCGGAGTGCTGGGCAGGACACGCCAGGGGAGAAGGAAAATAGATCTGGGAGCTGGAGAAGAGAAAGAACTGCTTTCCGGTGACGCCAGGGTCTGGAATGAAAATGCCCAAGGGATGCAATTTTTTTAAAGAAAAAAGGAGATTTGTTCGAAGGGACACAGCTGAGCGGCTCCAGCTGAACAATGAGGCCTTGCTTTCCTTGCTACATGTCACCATCTAAAATTCTCCGGCCTTATCGGGCCAGAAAATACGAATGTCCCCGGGCAGGGGGTGGGGAGGCGGAGGAAGATTAACGAGGGGCTTATTAAAGAGCCATCCGTCAGCTGCTGTGCGCGGGAGATAGCGGCGAGGCCGGCGCGGGACACCCCGGGCGGCCCCAGCCCCACCCCCCCCAGCGGAGAGCGTTTGGCTAGTGAGCACTCCCGGAGCCTGGGCCCCCCAGCCGCCCGGGACCTGGGGCCCCGGGGGGCGGTGGCACTTTGGCGTCGGGGCCGAAAGCGTTATTTAGGAGTATTGGGGAGTCCTGCCCTGCCTAGCGACGCCGCCTCCTCCCAGTGTTTCTGGAGCCCTGCCCCCTTGGTGCCGGGAACCTGCGTTTACTGGAAGGAAGAGGGTCAGCTCCGACTTAGCCATTTCCTGGGAAAGCCCAGCTGTGCGCGGGGCGGCCGGGGCTGGCCCTCTCCCCCACGAGGCTCGTGAGAGGCCGGAGCAGTGTCTCCCCGCCAGGGCAGCGAGGGGCTGCGGAGCTTTGTTCTATAAATAGCCCCCTCCCACCCCTCACTCTCACCCCTACCCCGCCGCCATTCCAGGCTTAATGGCCCGTTTTCCGCCCAGTCTTTTTACGGCGCTCAGCTGCTGCAGCCGTCATTGTCATGCAGCCGGGCAAGCAGAACTGAGCAAGCCCTGGGCGCCCGACGCGGCCACGCGCTGGGTTGGGGCAGGCTCCGGTAAGGGCGGCCGGCCTTCCCTGCGGTCCCGGACCTGCCTGCGCTTGCTGGGGGTTGGTGGGGGTAGCCCTCATCCACCGCCACCTCCACCCGCTGCTGCGGGCCTCAGGGTTTGCGAGTGGCAAAGGTCTACGCTCCCCTAATGGGGACGTACAGTGCGTGTCCTGAAAGGGTGAAGGGGCTGGAAGGAGCTGAGCTTGGCTGGGTCTGGGAGTCCTCCCTCCCCCACTGCCAGGCAAGGGCACAAGGGAGAGCTGGCCGGCCTTTGCCGGGTGCTTTACTCAGTTTCTTCTGTTTCTGTCCGACTCCCAGCTCCAATGTCCGCAAACCTGCAACCTAAGTGACAGGAGGGGGGAGGGCGGGGTAATCGAGGGGAAATTACCCTCTGCTAAGACGCTCTGCTAGGGGGTGCAGGTGAGGAGACTTCCCTTAGGTTTGACTCTGGGAAGAAACCAAGCACCAGGAGGACTGGTTTTCCATACTTGGGCCAACTCTGGCTTTCCTTTCTCATCTAGTGGAGGCCAGGGCGGTCTGGTCCTGACCCTGGGTCTACAGTCCCTCCAGGCATCCACCACCCACTGCCGCTCTCCTCCATCCCAGACCTCCGAGTACCTGGAAGGTGCCCTCTTGACCTGACACCATCTAGTTTGTTTTGTCCTTTCTCCCTAAGACAGCAGAGGGATGCATGATCCTTGACCCACTTCCACATCACCGCTCGGGGTGATCCTATAGGCACCCCCAGAGCCTTGCCAAAATCCAGTTTCCACTGCCCTCCCCCCCTTGCCCAGAAGCTGGGGAGCAAAGCTGCGAGAAGGCCCTGGGCCCCCGAGTGATGCCCTGAGTTCTGGAGACAGAATACCCCTGGTAGAGTAATCAGCTGGAAGAAACTCTGGGTCTCGCCAAGAGCTGAGGAGTAGCTATAGGCATGGTGGGGTGACCTACATAGACTGTCACAAGGACTCTAGGTTCTGGCCCTGGGCCCTGCTAACTGCCCAAGTGTCCGTGGGCTTCTGCCACTTATCTGCGCAGAGGTCCCGAACCCACTGCCAATCCCAGCCCCTCACAGCCCCATAGTGTGTGTATGTGTGTGTCTGTGTGTGTGTGTGTGTGTGTGGTTCTGTATCAATGACCAACTTTTAAAAATAGAGAGACTTCAAGGAATCTGTATTTCTAGTTTCTCTTGGAAAAAAGGGGTGGCTGTGTGGAGAAGAGCTGGCAGTGTGCTATCAGCCTCTCAGAATCAGAGAAAGGGCCCCTTCCTCCGGGTGGATGCGATTCCGTGCTGCAGCTGGGTGAGCAGAGGATGCTGTGCTTCAGCCCTCACTGCCTTGTTGGCCACATGCCCTGTGGCAGGACAGCTTGAAGCCCTGCCTGGAAACAACTGCCTGGAAACAACTGGCTAGAGCTAGTTCCCCCCTTCCACACATACCAAAGTTTGCGCTGAGAGCAGGGATGAGGTTCCCCCCTGAGGCTAACCAGAGTACTATGCTAGGGCCAGACCTAAGCCAAGGGCTGCTTCAGGTCTCCCCTGCTGTCCTCTTCTCCTCTGAAAACTGGAGCCCCTTACTGTAATAGTTACACCCCCTTTTCCCCACTGAGATGGGTCCTCACAGCTGGGGTAAGAGCAAGAGGGAGTACAGTCTGCTTCAGCCATAGGCATTTGGGGTGCCCCTTACTAGCCAAGGAAGTTTTCAATGCACTGACGTTAATATCATCCACCACTTCTTTCTTTATTATTAAGTTTGTTTATTTCATCCATGAGCCACAGAGGCACAAAGACAGCACCCCAATAGGGTCCTGACACACAATCCACACTGAGCCTTCAGCCAGCCTGAGATGATGGGCACACAGGTGCCTGGTGTACTCTGGGAGGTCCGGACCTGAACCCGGAACCTTCCCAAGTAGGTCGGCCTCACAGAGCATGGCATTTACTGCTGCTCCACCATCCACACCTCCTCCCCACCCACCACCTCTTCACCCTTGGAGAACAGGCAGTTCCTATAGAGTCCCTCCTTTTACTTTCTTTGAGGATCTCTCTCTTTTTTTTTTGAAGAGGTTTTTGCTATAGGAACTGTGCGCTCGCCAGACAGAGAGACAGAGAGATAGATTGCAGAGGGGATGGCCACACTGCAATCCCTTCTCCTCCATTCTCCTCTTGGGATCTTGGGCATGCAGGCACATGTGCCCAGCATGAGTTTTAAGCCACTGGGTCCGGGACATGAACCGTGGTCAACTACATGGGAGTCCAGCTACATAGCCATTACGCTGTTGGTCCAGAGGATCTCAATGTTTTTGAAAACAAACAACTTCCTAAAAGTGACAATGTACGTTGTGTTTACATTCACAGATTCATGGTTTATAACGCAAGTTATAACCCAGTGTGATTGTGTTAGTCTTAGGATAATTACAAGATTGTAGAAGCTCTGGTTCCTGGTACACTAGAGGGAATGCAGTCCAGGAAGGGCTGCAGGTTTCGAGTGTGTCATAATTATTGTCTCTGAACACCAGCAGGACATCTCTGAGAGAGCCTGTGTCAAAACCTCCTTTGGTCCCATGGTCTGGTGGTTGAAGGAGTGGGATCCTACATGGCCAGCTCCACGGCTTGAATCCCGACAATGGATGCTTGAAAAACTCACCAGGAATGTGTTCGTGCATGCCCCAGATCCTGCCAGGATGGATAAATGGAGAAGGGATTACAGTGTGCCCATGCCCCACTCGGGGTATTTTCTCCCTCTCCTCTCAGTCTAGCAAGTGCACTCCTCCTGTGGCAATAGAACAAAAAGAGCCCTGCTTTGGAGTTACTATCCAAACCCTAAATCAAGGTCCTTCTCCCTCCGCTTCTGGACAAGTGAATCCCTTGCAGCTGCCCAAAGAAAGTGGTTTCTAAAGAGGTTTCAAGATGGAGGGACCTCAGGCTCTTCCAGGGAATGACTGAGAAGCCCAATCTGAAGTCAGAGTGGGGTGTGGGGGGGTTCAGCTGGGCAGGACCTCATCCTCATTAGGCCATGTGAACTTGTTCTTTTCGACCTGGCAAGTTCCACAGCGCGCTGTCTGGGATGAGGGGCACGGTCTCAGTTCAGGAGCCAGGCGACCTTGCAAGTGCTGACTCCTGGTTCTGGGCTCAGAGAATGTGGAGGAGGAATTCGGAGTGCAGGGGAAGAGGTGATGGAAAGGATACCACCCCCATCTTTATATCCAAGTGCGATGTCCTCTTGGGCTTTAATGATAAGTTTACAATGTTCTGGAAACAATGAAGAGCCTGGTGCCTCAGCCTTCCTATTCTTCCCTCCAAAAATAGACCCTGGCTTCTGTGTGTGGGAGGATTCTAATCACCACCCGTCCCTCTGCGTTCCTCCTTCCTCTGCCCGTCTCCACTGACTTGCAGGCCTGGGGAAGTAGAGCTGAATTCCCAGATTAATTTGCCTTTTGTGCACCTCCTGGGACTTTCTTCCAAGCCTGCCTTGTGATGTATGTGACTCCCCAAGGATCTTGCTATCTACAGAAACAGCTTTGGGGTCACCGAGAAGCTTAGAACTTTCTTCTTTTTTTCAGTGTGTTGCATCGTGGGCTAATATTGAGGCTGAAATGGAAGAGGAGATGCTGAGGGAAATAGCGGGAGTGCAGGCCAGGAGCCCCGAGGGGAAGGGTGCAAGTGCAGGGAAGGTAGTATGCTCCCGGTTACAAGTCTCCAGCTCTTTTGGTTTTATTCGGCTTCCCGGTTCACTGCTAGTGCTGCAGTTCTGCTGACTTGAGAAGAGATTGCCGCTCCCTCCGAGGGGCAGAGGTGAGGTGCACATCTCACCCTGGGCTCAGAGTTCATCTCTGGGGAGTTGTTGAAGGACTTCCTGTCTGTATTATTGGACCGGTCACCATCTGCCAGTCCGTAAGCTCCTAGAGGTAGGAGAGCTGTCCCATCTTTATCTGTCCCCATCCTAAACGCTTAGCAGTGGCTTTATCCAACAGGTGCTCCACGTGTATTTACAGGATTAATGTCAACCACACATAAGACATTAACTTTCTTGTCTCATTCTGCAGTACCTTTATGCAAAGTGAGGGAGTGATACAGGAAATGCTGCATTCTAGGTTTGGGCCAGAAAAATGATACTTGTACTCAACCTCGCGAGCATGACCTGGTGCTGGAGGAAAGCATCCTCCTAATCCCCAGTATTGGACTTCACCGCTCCTCCTCCTGTGTCCTTACCCTCCTCCCTCTTGCTGTCTCCCTCCTCCCTCCGCCATCCTCCCTCTTCTGCTCCTCTTCCCTCTGCCCTCTTTATCCATCTCTGCTACCCTCCCTTTTCCGCTCTTGTCTTCTTCCCCCCATGTCCTTCCCCGCCTCTTCCCTCTGCTGTCCTCCCCTTCTCCCTCTGTCCTCTCCCTCTTCTCTTTCGGTCCCCCTCTTCCCTCTACTGTCCTCCCCCCTCCTCCCTCTGGTTCTATAGTCTGCGAACCCAGTGCTGGCAGCATCCTCTCTGATTGTGTCCCCTCCCTTAACACCCCATCCTGGGGCTGGTTACTGGAGTGGAAGCTGTCCGATTGACTTAATTCTGAGTTCACTGTCACGTTCAGAGGGAGAATGGGCTTCGCTTACTATTTTTCTCTCGCGCATGACTGGGTCTGTCCACTGATGACACTTGGCACTGCCCTGTCCCCGCCTGAAGGCGAGCAGTGCCAGAGTCACTGTATATAAAACGCAGGAGAAGGGAGACCCCTGCCTGGAGAGTTGACTGGGCCCAGCAGCTGGCTGTTCTGAGCACGCTGTGTGACCTGGCTTCTTGTGCCACAGGCTTCTTGCAAAGGACCAACAGCCTGGAAGAGAAGAGTCGTCTTGTGAGTGCCTTCAAGGAGAGGCAGTCCTCGAAGAACCTGCTTTCCTGTGAAAACAGTGACCGGGATGCCCGCTTCCGGCGCACAGAGACCGACTTCTCCAACCTGTTTGCTCGAGGTAGTCCTCCCCAACTCCCCGCCCTACTGTTACCCAGTAGATTCTTTATTTGGGTTTCTAGATTTTTTTAAAAAAAATTTACTTCTTTTACCAAAAAATGTCATTCTCCCGTTCTGAGTGCTCATGAAGCTCCCTTTCTGACACTGGAGTATCATAGGCTCCCTCCTTCCTTACTGCTCAGGTCTCAATGGCTTTGGGAGCTGGCAAGGGTAATAATTAGTAAAAAAGATAACGTTAACAACACTTGCAGCGACAAAAAACGCATTCATGGAATCTCAGAACCCAAGGGATCACAGATACTATTGCATAAAAAATATGGTGATTCCCTTAATACCATTTATCCTCCAAGATTGCCCTCCTACACGCAAACACACACACACACACACACACACACACACACACACACACACACACGTTGCCCCATGGGAAGCCATATGGCTGGGGGCCTCATAATTAAGGACTGCCCCAAAACTCGTTTTCCTTCTGGAGATCTTTCACTGATGTCTGCCGCCCCTATAGCTCTGGTCTCAGGAGGTACTTAACTAGTTCCTCTCAAACAGCTCAAAGTTAGACTCACTGCTGCCTCCCTCCATGAATTCCCATAGGGCTGGGGAGGCCAGACCAGAACATTAAACAAGACTTGAGCCAGGTGGTGTGATGGTTAAGGTGCTGGATTCCCACAGTTCAAGTCCTGGACCTGATGGCTCAGAAATCACATAGAATTTTGTGCGCATGCCCAAAATCCTAAGAGGAGAATGGAGAAAGTATTGCAGTGTAGCCATCCCCCTCTTCCCCCTCGAGGGCTGACTTCTCATTTCCCCTCTGTCTCTCTCTAGCGAGCGCATGCACCCTATGGCAAAAAACTTAAAAGAAAGCTAAACAAAACAAAACTTGGCTGAAACCTCAGCTATAACCCAGGGGATAGACACACAACGTCATGTACAGCCAGGTGATCTGCTCTTGAGCTATGGGTGACAAACTCACCTGGGGCATCCTAAGCTTCCCTCCATGGCTAACCCTGTCCAGACTGACTGCATAGTAGGGCCTGTAACCCAGAGCCACATCTCAAAGTCCAGGACCAAAAAGATGAGGTTAAGAGATTGAGCCCCATGTTTTAGTTCTAGTTTCTGGTCTGAGGACATCACAAAGGGCAACCCTCTTCAAAAGGAACTTCAGCCTCTACCCACAGAGGCCTTACCCTTTGCTATCAACAGATCAAGCACAACATAACACATCAGATGTACAAGGACACATCTGGTCCCAGTGAAGCATGACAGGAGACCTCTCCATCACACTCCTCACAGATTCCCTTTCAGCTTGCAGATGGACAGCCTCAGTGGCAGGTTGCTCATGGCTTCTCAGAGCTCTTTACTCTATGTAAAAGTAGCCTAATGATTAGAAAGTATGTGACCTCCAGAAAGTATCTGCAGATTTTCGTATATGTGCATTTTCTGAGGATGTGACACAGCAGAAACATTGCATGTACATATCCAGGAATGAAAATAGTCCTATAAAGATACCATGGCTGATCTTAGGTAACTTGGGACTGAGGAAATCCATATACAAGTCAAGTGATAACCACCCATTGACTTTTCCCCTCCCAGATCTGCTTCCAGCTAAGAATGGGGAGGAGCAAACCGTGCAGTTCCTACTGGAAGTGGTGGACATACTCCTCAACTATGTCCGCAAGACATTCGATCGCTCCACCAAGGTGCTGGACTTCCATCACCCACACCAGTTGCTGGAAGGCATGGAGGGCTTCAATTTGGAGCTCTCTGATCACCCTGAGTCCCTGGAGCAGATCCTGGTTGACTGCAGAGACACCCTGAAGTATGGGGTTCGCACAGGTAAGGGGAGCCAGGAGGACCTGCAACAGCAAGCTTACCCTTCATCCCATCCTGGCCAGTCATGAGGATATCGAGTCCATGTATGTAAGGAGAAACACAACCCTGGTGAGGGAAGTGGCAAGGTTCTCAGTGACCACAAGAACCTTGGGCAGTTATAGCTGGTGGAAGGCTGCAACTCTGGCACAAGCTCATCATCATTACTATTATAAAAGTGCTTAGATAGATACAAATACATAATGCCAGGTCAAGTTCTGTGCGGAGCTTCCATCCTTGGTTTTAGTTATTCATAACCTAAAGACAACATAATGACCTATCCCTTTTTCTTTTTTTTTTTTTTTTTTGTGCTGGAGGGTGCATGTGCTCCCCAGAGACAGAGGAAGAAGAGAAAGTACTCCCCTATGGGGAATGGTCATGCCACAATCCTTTCTCCTCTATCTCTCTTCTTGGTATTTTGGGCATGTGCAGGTATGCTTGCGCATGCACATGCACACACACACACGCACACATTCACACTCCTGGTGCGTTTCTTGAGCTGCCAGTCTGGGACCCAAACCACCTCAATCGGCCATGTGGGATCGGGCTGCCTTAACCACCAACCATGGAGCTGGCCCCCTGAATTTCTTTACTTACCTCCATTTGCATACCTCTTTCATTCTGAGAAACTCTCACCTGTCCCTGACATGGGGAGAACTGACCCATTTCCTTTCCTTTCTGTATGAGTTTCTTAGAGCTACCAATTACAATTACAGATGACCACAGACTGGGTGGCTTAAAACAATCCAGATTTATTCGCCAACAGTTTTAGAGGCTAGAAGTTTGAAATCAAAGTGTCTGCAGGGTCATGCTTTCTGAAGTCTCTGAAGGGAAGGCTCCTTCTATACTTCTTGCAGCCTACGGTGGTTCTAAGCAATCCATGGCTTGTTACGTCACTCCCTTGTTACATCTCTGCCCTTGCCTTCACATGGCATCCTCCCTGAGTGTATGCGTCCAGATTTCCTTCTGCTAAGGAAACCAGTCTTTGGATTCCAGCACACCCTCATTCATCATGACCTCATCTTGCTTACATCTGTGAAGACTGTATTTCTGAATAAGGTCATGTTCACAGAGAGCAAGGATTAGACTTGAACCTGTTGACACTTGACACAGTTCAACCCTGTTACCTTCTGTGGGCTAGGTGAAAGTCACACGCACATGCACACGCCATTCACATTCCGCTACAACCTCTAGAGTTTAGATTCAGAGTCATCAAACCTGTTTCCAAGGGAGTCCTTGAGGATGCTCTGCCATTTCATGTTATAGGAGCCCTCTCTAATCGGTAATCCTAGTCAAAGTGCTGCTTGCTTGCTTTCTTTCTTTCTTTCTTTCTTTCTTTTTTTTTTGTTGGAGAGGTTTTTGCTATAGGGTATGTGCACTCGCTAGAAAGACAGAGAGAGACAAAGAGACAGAAAGCGAGAGATCACCCCCCGGGGGGATGGCCACATCACAATCCCTTCTCCTTCATTCCCCTCTCGGGATCTCAGGCACACAAGCACATGCACCCAGCGTGAGTTTAAGCCACTGGGTCCAGGACTTGAACTGTGGTCACCCACATGGGAGTCCAGTAACATAGACATTACACCAAAGTGCTGCTTTCTGATTGCTTCAACTTCAAGGACTTTTTAGATTGAGCTGTAGTTTTTTCTCCTTATAACTCTTGCCCCACTACAGCCTGTCTTCCCTGAGGTCTTGGGCAAACATAGCTATAGGAATTGGGAGTCCCCAGCATAATTGCCACCCCATGGGAATCCCAAAACTGTGATGGGCAGCCCCTCATTTTTTCCCTTCTTTTTCTCTTTCTCCTTTATGATCCCTCTCACTCTTCTTAGTCATTCAAAGATAGATTTAAGACTAAGACTGGAGAGGCTGGTTGTGATAGAGCTGAGTAAGGCTATTGAATGTCAAAAACAAAGTATTATAATGAAATAATGAAGCTAGCCAAAGAAGCTTTTTTAAATAAGAAATCTCAACTAGCTTTTGAGGTCTGCCAATACCACTAGAATACATTTAGCTTTGTTAAATAACTGCTGTATGGATAAGACTCAATTATATGTATAAAGTCTGTATTGTTTGATTTTTAAAGAAACGCTCATCAATTTAGTTACATCCCAACTAGGTCTGATGGCTAACCTATTCCTCATGGAGAACAAGTAGTGTTATTTGGCTGAATTAAAGAAAGAGTTTTAGGGACCAGCAGTTAGCATAATGGCTATGTCGCTGGACTCCCATGTAGTCAACGGTGGTTCAAGTCTCAGACCCTGAGGCTTAAACTCACGCCGGGCGTGCGTGCCCAAGATCCCAAGAGGAGAATGGAGGAGAAGGGATTGCAGCATGACCATTCCCCATTTTTTTTTTTCCTGAGAGAGATTTTTGCTATAGGGCATGTGCACTAGCCAGAGAGACAAAGACAGAAAGCAAGAAATCACTCACCAGGGGCGACGGCCATGCCATAGTCCCTTCTCCTCCATTCTCCTTTCAGGATTTTGGGCACACACACACGTGACTAGTGTGAGTTTCAAGCGACCAGATCTGAGACTCAAACCATGGTTGGCCATGTGGGAGTCCAGTGCCTTAACCACTACGCCACCTGCTAGCCCTCCCCATGTATATTTTGACTTGCTAGATCCACTTTTTTATTTTTTTAAGTCTTGTCAGTCCATACTACATATACTTTCTCAGATGGGGACCATATACTATGGTTAAAGCCCAGAATGGTGTTGTCCCTCAAAAAGAATAAACACACAATTTGTCATTATGTCACCTACAAAACCAAAGCTTGTCATGGTCAGAGAAAGCATGATCTCTCATTAGTCTAGTGTCTGAACCACTTAGCTGTTCAGCCTGAAGTCACACATCCCTGTCCTTCAGAGAAGCTTTTGGAAGCAGATGTATGAGCTCTGTATATTTCCAGAGTTCGTAGTCTTCCAGGCAATGTGAAACTTTCTGCTGCATCTCAGGTGTTGATCCTGGCAAAGTACCCAATTGCTGCCATGTCAGAGCACAGCTCCTCATTGCCAGTCTGTAGTTACAGAGACAGGAGCAATAACGGGAACCACAGGTAACTATACACAGTGGAAAATAATTATTTTTCAAAAAAGGATACTCATGATCAGCCAAAATATTAATTTTTTTGAGAGTTTTTTTTTTTGTTTTTTGTTTTTTTTGTTTTTTTTTTTTTTTGCTTTAGGGTGCATTCCCTTCGCCG